GAAAGAGAGAGAGAGAGAGAGAAAGCAAGCTGCTAGGTCCAGGATTAGAACTATGGTTGCCCATGTGGGAGTTCAGTGCCTTAACCACCACACCACTTGCCAGCCCCATTTTTTCATGAGTTTATGGACATCTGAGTTGTTTTCATTTTGGCTATTTCAAGTAAAGCACAGTTTTCTTTTTTAGTTTATTTAATCCATATGAGAGAGAGAAATGGCAGCACTTCTGAAAGGGTTTTGATGTTGCCATTCACCCCCAGCTTTGGCCAGCCTGGATCATGGGCACATGTGTGCCTGGCTTACTCTGGGAGGCCTTCCAGCCTTCCTGTCAACCTTCCTCTATGGGTCTGCCTTGTAGAGTGTGACAGTTTACCACTGAGCCACCATCCATCCCCTTGTGTGTACATACCCTTTGTGGCCATTTTCATTCATGTATCTTGAGTAAACATCTAGAATGGAATAACTGAAATATGCAATAAATGTATGTAGAACTTCTAAAAAACCAATATATTCCCACCAGCAGCATGTGGTAGTTCCAGTTCCTCTACCTCTTGATCTCCACTTGATATGGTTGGTTTCTTTAATTTTAGTTGTTCTAATCAATGTATTTGAACCTCATCCATTTTGAGTTAATAATTGCATCTGATGGGGGCTGACCGGTGGTGTGGTCTCACTTGACAAACCATGATTCGAGTCCCAGACCTGTGGCTTGCTTTCTTACTTTCTTTTTCTCGCTCTCTCTCTCTCTGGTCAAATTAAACAAATAATATTAATTAATTAAATTTTTTTTAAAAAAGATAATTGCATCTGGTGTGAGGTATGGATAAATATTTTTGTTTTTTGTTTTTGGAGAGGTTTTTCACTTTAGGGTGCATGCGCTCGCCAGACGGACAGAGAGAGACATAGAGACAGAAAGCGAGAAATCACCCCCCAGGGGGGATGGTCACGCCGCAATCCCTTCTCCTCCATTCTCCTCTCAGGATCCTGGGCACGCACGCACGCACACACGCCCGGCGTGAGTTTTAAGCCACCGGGTCCGGGACTTGAACTGCGGTCGACTATGTGGGAGTCCAGTGACATAGCCATTACACTAACTGCTGGCTCCCTTTTTTTTTAAAGAGAGGTTTTTGCTATAGGGCAACTACCAGTTCCATTACCATTTCTTCAAAACATAATTTCTTCGATGAGTTTCCTTTTTCGTACCTGTCAAAAACCAGTTTTCCATATATCTGTGGATTGATTTCTAAATGTTATTCTAGTCCATTGTTCTCTTTGTTCTTCTGTGCCAATACTGCATCATTTTAATTATAATAGTGTAAAAAATAAAACTTGAAATCAAATAAATTGTTATTACACTCCTCTTTGTATTTTTAACCAACTTTGTTATGGCTCTTTCAAGTCTTATCATTCCATGTGAATTTCAGAATGAAATTTGTCAATTTCTACAAAAATGCTTTCTAGAACTTTGATTACAATCCTGTTGCAATGGTTCATAATCCATGGGATAATTTGAAAAGGCTGACATCTTAATATTATAGTATTGAATCTTCTGACCAATGAACAAAATATATCCTTCCATTTATGTAGGCCTTTAATTTCTCTCAATAATAATTTATAATATTGAATGTATAGGTCTTATATATTATTATCATATAAATTCTTTTATTTAGTTAGTTTTTGTTATTTTTATTCATTTCATGAAAGAGAAACCCCTAACAGGACCTTCTTGCCACCATCCGCCTCCAGTCTCAGTTGGCATACCCAGGGTGGTCCCAGGATGCAAGGACCACCTCGCATCAGGACCTTTCCCATGTGGGTTCAGTTGTAGTATTACTGTGCCACCACAACCTGGCCACTGTCATGTGAATTCTTAAGTATATAATAAGTTTGATGCAATTATAAACAGTAAAATATATTAAATTTCCTTTTCTGAATTTCCCTTGTTATAATATATAGAATTCAGCTGACTTTTGTGTTTTATGTATTTTTTATTTTTGGAGAGGTTTTTGCTATAGAGCACATGGGCTTGCTGGAGAGACAGAGAGAGAGAGAGAGAGAGAGATAGAAAGCAAGAAATCATTCCCCGGGAGGATGGCCATGCCACAGTCTCTTCTCTCCATTCTCCTCTCAGGATTTTGGGCACACCTGCACACTTGCCCGATATGAGTTTTAAGCTACCAGGTCCAGGACTCCAGCCACAATCGACTACGTGGGATTCCAGCAACATAACTGCTGTGCCATCTCCTGGTCCCAACTTTTGTGTTTTGATCTATATGCTACAGCCCTGTAAACTCAATAGTTCTAGGAGCTTTATTGTGAGATCAGTCAGAATTTCTATACAGAAAATTATGTTGTCTGTGAATAAAGACAGTTTTACTTGTTATTTTTATATCTGATTGATTTCATTACTCTTTCTTGCTTTATTGTACTCCAATACAAGACTGAAAAGAAAGTACTTTTTTTTTTTAGAGAGGTTTTTGCTATAGGGCATGTGCACTCACCTGATATACAAAGAAACAGAGACAGAAAGCAGGAAATCATACCCCTGGGGGGGTGGCCATGCTGCAATCCATTCTCCTCCAGTCCCTATGCTCCTGACAGGAGTTTTAAGCCACCAAGTCCAGGACTTGATCTGTGGTCAACTACATGGGAGTCCAGTGACTCTATTATGCCCTGAATAGAAATTTTAAAAGTGAGCACCTTGTCTTATTTTGGATCTTAGGAGGTAGCATTCATGCTTATATTTAAGTAGGATATTCCCAGTAGGTTTTCAGTAGATTTTCTTTTTCATGTTAAGAATGTTATTTCCCATACCTAGTACACTGAAAATTAGTATGAAGAATGGATGTTAGGTTTTGCCAATACTTTTTCTACACCATTGATTATACAGTCTTTTTTTTTGGTAAAGGCAGGTGGATCTCAAATGACCTACTGCATAATTTGAGTCTTGGACTAACGAATTGAGAACCATGCCAGTCCATGTGCATGTGTGCCCCACATCCTGAAAGGAGGGAGAAATGGAGACAGGATTGTGGTGTGACCATCTTCCATGGGCATGCTTTCTACTTACCCTCTCTGTTTCTGTATCTCTCTCTGTTTGTCTCTAGGGAGCACACATCCCCTCTGACAATTTTTCAAAAGAATTATTTATTTAATTTTATTTACTTATATAGTTTTCAGTTGACCAGAGAGAGACAGAGCAGAGAGAGAAAGTGAGAAAGCAAGGTGCCAGGTTCAGGACTTGAACCATGGTCAGCCATGTGGAGTCCAGCACCTTTACCACCATGCCACCTGCCGGCCTCCCTCTGACAATTTTTTAAAAAGAAGAGTATTTGTATCTATTTTCATGAGTGATACTGGTCTGTATTTTTCTGGTAATATTTTTGTATTCTGGAATCAATGTTTATAAAATAGTTTTGGAAGTATTCCTTCTTTTTCAGCTTTATCAAAGAGTTTGTGTATTATTATTATTTCTCTCTTAAGTAATTGAAAGAATTTGTGAGTGAAGAAATTTGAGCTTAGATTTTTCCTTTGTTGGAAGTTATTTTTACTATCATCTTTTTTTTTTTTTAAGAGAGATTTTTGCTATAGGACATGCGGGCTTGCTAGAGAGAGAGAGAAAGAGAAAGTGAGAAATCCCCACCTCCCCACCCCTGTCCCCAGGAGGGATAGCCATGCCGCAATCCCTTCTCCTCCATTTTCCTCTCAGGATTTTGGACTTGGGCTTACACTTGCATCCAGTGTGAGTTTAAAGCTACCAAGTCCAGGACTTAAACTGCAGCCAGCCATCTGAATGTCCAGAGCCTTAACCACTATCAAATCTGCTGGCCCACTATGATCTCGTTTTAAAAAGAGCATACAACTATTTTAAAAATAGACATAGGGAACCAGCAGTTAGCGTAATGGCTATGTTGCTGGACTCCCACGTAGTCGACTGCGGTTTGCGTCCCAGACCCGGTGGCTTAAAAAACTCACGCCGGGCGCGTGTGCGTGCGTGCCCAAGATCCCGAGAGGAGAATGGAGGAGAAGGGATTGCGGCGTGACCATCCCCCCCTGGGGGGTGATTTCTCGCTTTCTGTCTCTATGTCTCTCTCTGTCTGTCTGGCGAGCGCACGTGCCCTACAGTGAAAATCTCTCCAAAAAAAAAAAAAAAAAATAGACATATAACTATTGGTTATCTATCCTTGAGTGAGCTTTAGTAATCTGTATCTTTTTTTTTTTTCAGTCTTTCATATGACTTTATTTTCTCCCTTCAACTAAGATAATATGATATCCAAATTTTGTCTTTTCTGGTGGGTCTGTAGACACAGGTTTATCCATCCCACTGACAAGCAAGGCAAAAATGCTGCTTCTTGAAATGGTCCCACCATGGACCCTCTCGTCATCCAACCCCAGTCACCCCCGTGCCTGGCTTCATCTTCACTGTATTGTGTGGCCACTTCATTGATTCTCATTCTAGACTTTATCTTTTCCATGGCTCCCATCATTTTGCTGTGTTTTTCACATGTGTCTGACTTTTATTGCATTGTCACCACCTTTGGGACCCCGAGCCTTCTTGTCAGCATTGTCACTCCCAGATGGTGCTCCCCCTTTACCTCCATTTCCAGAACCACTTTTTCCTTTGGGTGGCATCTTTAAGACTTGCCAGTGAACATTCAACCCTGTATCTTTTAATAAATATGTCCATTTTGTGTAAACTGTCAAATTTATTGGCATAAAGTTAGTCATAATATTATCTTATCGTCATTTTTAACACCTGCAGAGTTCCTAGTAATGCAATTTTCTTCATTTCTCAAAGTGGCAAATTGTATTTTCTCTCTCCTTTTTCCCCCTACTGACCAGTCTGACTAGAGATTTATATTTTATTGATTTCAAAGACACATATTGTGGTTTTATTAATTGTATTGATTACTTTTTAACTTTCTATTTCATTGAATTCACTCTGATGTATGTTATTTCCCATCTTCTACTTACACTGGCTTTTGTTTGTTCTTTTTGTCTAGGTTCTAAAGGTGGAAACCAAGGTCACAGGTTTGAGACTATTTTGTTTTTTTAAGTAATATTTGCATTTAAAGATATAAATGTCCTCTAAATATTGCTAAACTGGGAATCCTGATTGGTATATTTTTATTTTTATCTAATTCAAAATACTTTCTAATTTTCCTTTTAGGCCTGTCTTTTTACCATTGGTTTACAAAAGTGTGATATTTACTTTCTAAATGCTTAGGAATGTTCCAAATATCAGGCTGTCATTGATTTAGAATTAAATTTCATTGGGGTCAGGGAAAATTTATTGAGACTTGTTTTATGGACTGAATATAGGCATCCTTTTTAAATATTTCATCTGAACTGGGAAAAAATGCATTCTCTGCTAGTTTGGTTTTATCAATGTCAGCTAGGTCAAAGGGTGGATAATATTTTTCAAATCTTCTATATCCATAGTGATTTTCTGTCTATTTATTCTATCAATTATTGAAAGAAAGATCTTGAAATTTCTGACTATAATTGTGAATTCGTCTATGGTTTTTCTTGTAGTTCTATCAGTTCTATCTTGTAGTTATGAAGCAAAAACGCTTCAAGTTTTATACCACTGTTACTTCATTTATAATTGTTCAGGATCATTATTCCTATTGATAAATTTACCTCTTTATGATTATGAAACAACCTTTTCCATCCTTTGTTATATTAATCCTTTCTGAAGCTATTTTGCCTAGATTAGTAATATAGCCATTTCATCTTTTTAAAAATTGTTATCGTGATATAGCTTTTTCTTAACACATTCCTCTTTTATTTATTTCTTTTTTTTTTTTTTTTTTTTTAGTTTTAAAGTTTTGGCTGTAGGGCACGTGTGCTCACTGGAGACAGACAGAGAGAGACAGTGAGAAGGAAAGTGAGAAATCACCCCCAGTAGGGATGGCCTTACCACAATCCCTTCTCCTTCTCCTCTGTTCTGCTCCTGGATTTTGGGCATGCATGTACACATGCCCAGCATGATTTTCAAGCAGTCAGATCTGGAACTTGAACTGCAGTTAACCATGTAGTAGTCCACCATCTTAACTATCATGCCACCTGTTGGTCCCATACACATTCCCTTTTAAACTTTACATCTTTGTGTTTAAAGTGGGCTTCTTATTTTGGCATCATTTTTGTTGTTGTTTTTGTTTTTAGGTTTTTGCCATAAGGTGTCTGTGCTCACAGGAGACAGAGAAAGACAGGGAGAGGGAGAGTGATAAATCACTCTGTAGGGAGGATGGGCATGTTACAATCCCTTGTCCTCCATTATCCTTTTAGGACTTCAGGCATGCCCAGTGTAATTTCCCGATTCTGAGTCTAGAACTAGAACAGAGGTAGGCCATGTGGAACCCACTGCCTTAACTACCATGCCACCTGCTGGCCCCTACATACTGGTTTTAAAGTCACTCTGACAATCTCTATCCTATTATTGGGTAATTTAGACCATTAACCTCTCATGTTATTACTGATATGTTTTGGTTTAAATTTATCATGTTGCTATTGTTTTCCATTTGTCCTACTTGTTCTTTACCACTTTCTATTTTTGACTCTTAAAGTCTAATTTTTTTAATAATTCCACCTTTATTCTTTGACATACAACAACAACTGTCTATTTTGCTGTCATAATATGACTTTACGATTTATAGTCAGTATATTTTCAATATATAATACTTCTTTAAAGGATATTATGCAGTTTCTCATATATTATGAAACCTTACAATAGTACATTTTCACATTTATCCCTTCTGGACATTGTGCTATTTTTATCATATAATTTGCTGTTACATATGTTATAAACCCTACAGTACATAACTGTTATTTTTGTTCAAAATCAAATTGTCTTCTAGGTTTATATAAATTAGAAAAACGTGTAATTTATCCATGTATTTACTATGTCTGATGTTTTTCATTTAATTGTCTATATTCATTTCTCCATCTGGTATAAGATATTACATTTTGCTCGAAGGACTTCCTTTAATATTTCTTGTGTGGTGGATCTGCTGGTGATAAATTCTTTGGGATTTTGTATTTATATTTTGTAATTTACATTTCACTTTTTCTTTTTTACTCTATGATAAAGATTACATGTCCATGCATGAGAGAGCAAGAGAGAAAGAGAAGCACCTTTGAGAGTCTTGTCACACTATAATCCTCTTTCCTCAGTCCTTTAGCCTTTCAGGATCTCAGGATATTAGATGCCCACATGCACAACTGGCACGTTTCATCCCAACCTGAAGGTCTGAACTCCTCGTTGGTCATATGGCTTCTAGCCTTGCAGTGAAATTTACTATTCTATCACAGTAGCTGAGCCTTGCCTTTTCTTTTGAAAGATAGTCTTTCTGGGTATAGAATTTTAAATTTTCATTTCATTTCTTTGGTATTTTAAAGATTTTGCTACACTCACTTCTGGCTTGCATTGTTTCTGATTATAAATCTGTTGTCATCTTATTTTTGTTCTTTGTAATAACATCTTTTTCCTCTGTTTCTTTTTAATTTTTTTCTATTTATCACTAGTTTGTGCAATTTGATTTGGATATGACTTTTTTTCTTTTCTTTTCTTTTGCACTTGTGATTTTTTTAAAGAATTATTTATTTAATTTTATTTATTCATTCAGTAATTTTCATTTGACCAGAGAAAGACAGACACACAGAGAGAAGGAAAGTGAGAAAGCAAGCCACCAGGTCCGAGACTCGAACCGTGGTCGGCTATGTGGGAGTGTCCAGCACCTTAACTACCATGACACCTGCTGACCTGCACTTAAGATATTTTAAGGACCTTTTCTATCTATGAGTTTATAATTTTTATGAAATTTGAAAAGTTGTCAGTTATTATTATTGTCAAACAAACATCTTTTTGTTCAGACTTATTTGTCTTCATTTCTATTATTTCACCTGTATGTATGTAAGAATGTACAGATCCTGGAGTTCTGTCCCAACACACACTGATTCTCTGCTCTTTTTTTCTTTTCTTTTTTTGGAGGCTTTCTTCTCCATTTATTTAAAATATTGTTTATTTCTATGTCTTAAAGTTCACTGATTTTTTTCTTCAGGCTCTTATTTGTCATTGATTACACTGAATGTACTTTTACTTTTTAGCATTGCTTTTTTTTAATCCCTAGAAACTGTAATTTTGTTATCTATATGATATTTGGCTCTTTTTAAACTTTTTACATCTCTAGTAAATGTTTTTCCTCTTTTTCCTATGTTTTTGAGCATGTAGAATATTGTTAAATAACTTTTACAACTCTTATATTGTAGATTTATGCTAATTCTAACATCTTCATTAGTTCAGGGTCAGTTTTGAGTGATTAATCCAGACCTTAACCACCATGCAACCTATGACCTTATTTTCTTTCTAACTTTTTTCTTTCTTTCCTTTTTTTTCCCCCCATGTTTTGTTGTAAGTTGCTCGTACTTACCAGAGAGAGACAGAGAAAAAGAGGGAAAGTGAGAAAGCATTTCCCCAGGGCATGACCACAATGCAATCCCTTCTCCTTCAGTGTTCTCTCAGAGTGTTAGACATGCATGCACATGTTCCTGGTGTGTTTTTAAAGCCACTGGATCTGGGACCTAAATCACACAGTCAGCCATGTGGGGTCCAGCCACCATAGTCACCATGCCACTGACTGGCCCATTCTAGGGCTAATTGTTTTGGCTACTATAATACAAGATTCTGTTCAGCATTCTAATATAGCTCTGTGAATTGTTTTTTCATTGTGCCTGGTGGGCTTTAGTTCTCACCTATGTAAGCCCTCGTTTCTGTTCCTCTAATCCTTCTCGGCGATTCTACCATAGACACTTTCTTCTTACATATAATGATCAGTATTTTGCTGAATAGTTGGGGGATTCTGTACTAATCTCCCAAATTGTCTGTACAGGTCTCTCCTGTCTAACAGCTGGTGTTACGAATGCTAGTACCTTTGTCTTCCTGAATTTGGCTTTATTTTCTCATCTTAGGGTGTCTACAAGTTCCATGTGAGCTTCAAGGCGGTAAACTCAGACAATATAGGGATCATCTTATTTGTCTCTTGGCTCTCAAAGGTTAATGTTTTCTGTTGCATGATGTCCAATATTAAAAAAAAATTTTTTTTCAGGGTCAGCAGGTGGTGGGGAGGTTAAAGTGGCTGTATCCCACTTGCCTCACCATGGTTCAAATCCTACACTTAATGGCTTGAAAACACATGGGGCTCATGTGTGTGTGTGTGTGTTCCCCCCCAAAAAAAAATTCTTGAAGGAGAATGAAAGAAAAGAGATTGTGGAGTGCCTATCCCTCATGGAAGGTAATCACCTTGTCTCTCTCGTTCTCTCTCCAGGAGCACACACACCCTTATAGCAAACTGAAAACAAAAACTAGAACATTGTTTCACATGTTTTGTGCATTTTTTTTTTAGCTGTTTCAGGTGGGAAAGTAAATCCAGTTTCTGTTGCACCATCTGTCCCAATAATATGCATTTAAAAGAAAAGGTAAAATAAATGCACAAAAATGTAAATGGAGATAAGAATCAAAAGTAAATAAAGTTTATCAAAAATAATATGGGAGAAGGGATTGTGGCAAGGCTACCTCCCCACATGGGGGGCGATGATTCAGTGGGGGCTGATTTCTTGCTTTCTGTCTCTCTGGTAAGTGCACATGCCCTATAGCAAAAATCTCTCTACAAAAAGGATAATAGGGGATCAGCAGTAAGTATGGTGGTTGAGGGTGCTGGAATCCCACATGGCTGACTGCAGTTCGAGCCCTGGACCTGGAAGCTTGCTTTCTCACTTTCCTTCTCTCTCTCTCTTGCTCTCTCACTCTGTCCCTCTCTGGCCAAATTAATAATAAGTGAACAAATAGATAAAGTTACATAAAATAATTCTTAAAAAGAATAATAAAAACAACAATAAATAATAATCATAAATAATACTTTTTTTAAAAAAAGACAGGATTTTTATCTAATACTCAATAGGTTTGTCAAAGATGGGACTTTTATCAGGTATTCATGCCACTAATTGCTCATTATACAGAAGAAAGGGAAGGA